GCCATTCCCAGCTGTGCCACAGGGTCACATTCCTGGGATAGCTGGGAGCTTTGCTGTTCACCCAGGGAAAGGTCACCCTTGTGCGCGCAGGCAGCTGCCAGGACCACCCCGTGGACAGGGCAGGGGAAGGAGCGGCCCCGGGAGGTAAAGAGGAAACCTGGCAGCTCCTGCCAGAGCCGAGCTTCTCCCCGGCACAGCCAAGGAGGGGCAGCTGCACACAGCCCTGAGCCCGGGGCAAACAAGGCCACGGGATGACAGAAGATGGAAATCCCAGTAAGGGAGGGGAGCTGGTGGCAGAGACACACCACATCTCTGTGACCACGGCCACAGAGGTGCCAGGGTGAGCTGGGACAGCTTTCAGTAGGACAAGACAAGAGCCAGCTGAGGGCAAGAGATTTATTGGTCATTCTCTATATACACTGATATATTAATCTGTAGTAAAAGCAGCAGTCACTAAGTGCACAGAGCAGCACCAACTTGTGCCTCCTCACGCTGCAGCTGGAGACCCAGCCACACAGCCCAGACCAAACTTACCCTCTTGCCTCCTCTGAGCTACAAATATCGGGGTGGGGCAGGGGGCAAGACTAAACCTGCAGGCAGCGAGTCCAAGGAGCACAGCAGTGACTAGTAGGGTCTCAGCTGAGCCAGGACCAATGACGACATCTCCTGGGGATGCAGGTAGAGCTCCGACTTGATCCCAAAAATACAGTCACCTAGCACAGTGCTGGGAAAGGTAGGGACAGAGCCCTGAGGTTGTTCTGCCCCACCCAGGAGGTGGAGGTAGGATCACAAGCAGGAAGGATGGCTCTTCCACCACTGAGCCAGGTCACAGGGCCGGGGCAAGTACGTGGCAGGGCACAGGGAGTGCCAGGGAGCACCCAGGGCTTGGAGCAGCTGCCAGGGGCAGCCACAGGGATGGAGACACAGCTGTGGACAATGCTCCACAGCAGGGACCCAGCTGGTGTGGCAGATGCTACATGGCAAGGAGGGCTGGTCTGCCCCCAGCCTGGGGCTGGCAGGAGGAGTAGGAAGTGCTCGTGTCCTCTGGCAGGGTGATGCCACGCTGGGAACCAAGCAGCCCAGGCTCCCGGCGAGCACGGAAAGGGTGCCCGCTGTCATGGGTGCAGTGCAGGACCCAGGAGCCGGCTGGGCCTGTTTGGGTCACTTGATGAGCACCTGGTTGCACAGAGCACACACAAACACTGTCTCCCTCTGAGCCTCCGGGGCTGGAAAGAAAAGCAGGTGTCAGAGATGATCTCCTTCCCCAGCCATGGAGCTGTTCTGAGAGCTGCAAACCCATCACCTCTCTGACCCGAGCCCAGCTGCATTGGGCAGGTCCTGCCAACCCTTCCCACCACGGCTGGGGCAAACCCCTGCAGCAGACAGCACAGGTGGGAGCAGGAGCTCTGCCCTCCTCCACCTTTCCACTCACCCGTGGCTCCCATCACAGCCTTGGGGACTTTGAAGGAGCAACACCTGGAGCAGAAGCTGTTCCCACAGTTACTGCAGCTCCGCTGTGGAGAGAGATGGAGGTGAGACACTACTCTGGGCCCACACCCAGCCCTCCCTGGCAAACTCCAGTGCCAGAGCATTGCTAACAGTGTTCCCTGCTGAAAGGGAGGGGGTACAAACCCCGAGCCCCATCAGCAACAGCAGAAACATCATCTGCTAACAACACCTGGACAAACTGCCCAGGCCTAACGCTGGATCTCCATTCAAGTGTGCTCTGACATCACAGGCAGCCTGTGCCCAGCCTGAAAAAGCACAGGGAACACAGGCTCCAGGAGGCTTAAGGACACTGTATCGCTGCCCCTGCTGTAACCCTCTGCTGTAACCCTGGAGGGACACAAGCTCCAGAGAGTCCCAGACATGTATATGACTATGCCAGGAGGAAGATGAGGGTGCCACAACTCTGGAGAACAAGAGGTGGCGGGAACACAGCAATGCAAGTCTAGGGGGGACAAGAGATACATCCTTTCCAGAACTGCCCAGGGGACCATGTGCCAAGCATCATGCACAGGGGCTCAGACAAGACCACCGGGGTGGCCTTTGCTCCTCTAGTTCCCACAAGCAGACCCATGCTCTGCTTCACCAGAAAGCTCTCAGGCCACAGGAAACCGGCTAAACCAGTGCACAGAGCAGGTGCCTTGTACACCAGCACAGGCAAGTTTGGCCTGAGGCAGCTGCCAAAGGAGCAAAAAGACAAAAGCTCCACAGCACAAGGGATCCCTGGCACCATTAGGCATGTGACAACACCCAGCACTTAGCTGAGGTCATCTACTGCCAGGCTGTGACCGAGGCCAGCCAGCCGAGCTGCTGGAGAAAGCCAGGCAAGCCAGACACACGAAACACCTCTGCCCCAGGTGCAGGCAGCAAGCTGGGGCAGAAGACAAAGACTCACCCTCTTCTTGAGCACAGAGAAAGTGGCTGCGCAGCCGGTGCAGCTCCCTGGAAAAAAGACAGGGGAGGTCAGGGAGGGCTCTGCTGCCTGGGACCGCGAGAGGCACAGAACACCCGCACCTGTGCAAAGGCTCAGTGTGGAGACTGCACTGCTGCATCCTCTCAACCCCACCCTTGCCAAGACAGCTGGGGACATCCTCCCCATGGAGAAGGGAGGTTACTGGAGATGTCAGGGCAGCCCTAGCGGGCACACCACTCTCTCCACTCCCAATTCAGCGGCCACTGCTGGGAGCAGCACAGACCCCCCTTCTCCGGAGCCTCCCCAGGCAGCTCCCGCTCCCAGCCTTACCGAAGTTGTTGCTGGGGTAGCGCTTGCGCAGGCGCTCCGTCAGGCGAGACACCTTGCTGCGGATCACCTCGTTTTTGCTCATAAAGCCATTGTCTGGGAGGCTGAGGTCAAAATCTGCTGAGCACTGAGAGCTCTCGTCATCCTCCTGCACAGAGCAGAGCCAGCTGAGCAGAGGGGTGGCTGGGGGCACACCCAGGGGCTGCAGAGCAGCCCACCCCACAGACGGGCATCCAAGGAGAAGGATCTTCCACAGGGCACGGCCACAAACCACCAGCAAACCCGGCAAAGGCTGCCAGCTCTAGATGGGAGGAGATGCCCCTCTTGCACACCTTGCCATGGCAGTACTCACCATGACCAGCAGCTGGTTCTCCTTCTCCCGCAGCATGGGACAAAGAAGAGAGGCAGTACAGATGGAGTCAGCAGTGCCCAGACCCACACTCGCCTTCCCTGAGCACCCAGCTTGCCCACCAAGGCCCTCACCCCTTCCCACCTCAGCTGTCCCACAGGCACAGCCCATCCCCACCAGCCTCAAACCTCGATAGCATCTTTGAATTCTTCATCAGGCTCTGCCTCCTCCGCCTCCTCCACACTGCCAGGGGTAAGGTCCTGAAAGAGATGCACAGAGCCACTTCTGCTGTACCCCCACCGCTGTCCAGAGGTGGGCCCACACTTCCATGGCAGGTTCCAGGACAAAGAACCAGCTGCCTGACAGCCCCATGAGGTGTAAGTCCTGAAGGTGGGGTAAGCCCCTGCCTCCACAGCTCACATCCTCACACTCAGTGGGAGGACTGAGCCAAGCTCCTAGTGCAGCAGGGCAACACCCCAGGAGGGGCTGCCAGGCAGGGCACACAGGCTTCCAGCAAAGGTGGCCGCTGGAAGGAGTTTGTGGGTAGAGAGGCACGGGCACAGTCAGACTGAAGGGCTGACCCTGCCCAACTGCCAGCCCTGCCCCTATCTTACCTCTGTGCTGGTGGGTGTGGGAGTCCGATCCACAGGGGCAGGAGCTGGCAGGGGTTCGGCAGGCTCTGGAATGCTCTCGAGGGGTTTGGTGCCCACACATTGCTCGATCGAGGCCTTGAGCTCCCTTATCACTGGCAAGAGGGGAACATGGTTGGAGTGGGATGGCGTTTCCCTTCCCCCAGCCCTGCCACACAAAAAAATGACTGCAAGAGCCAATCTCCAAAGCTCAGGGTGGGATGCTGGCACGTACAACCTTCACCCATCAGGCATCCTGAACCCTCCTCTGCTCACACACCTTGGGCCAGCAAGGAACCGCCCCCCCACCTGGCCCAGCTCAGGCTAGGGAACAGCAGGTGCCTTAGTCACAGCTGAGACATCATCCAATTCCCCTCCAGCACACACCACAGGACAGAGATCACCTCCAGCTCTTCTCCTCCCCTCTGACAGCACATTTCCAAGCTTGTGTCACACAGGCATCAAGAGTATTTCAAGTCCTGCAGAGCAGGGTCAAGGGACCAAGAGGGGTGGTGACACTCATGCACACGCTGCATTGCTGGTTTGCCACAGCACAAAGGAGAGCAGCAAAGAGCACCCAAGGCCAGGACTCAAATGAGGTGAGAATCTCACATCTGAACCCCAGAACCCCACCACCCAGCCTGGGCTGCTGAGCACCATCCCCAGGACATCATTGGCTCTGAGGTGTCCAGGTCCCACAGCAGAGTACAACATGGGTCACTGGGCTCACACAAAGGTGCTGGGAGAGGACAAGGGCAGGATCCCTGGCTTCAGAGGGCCTTTCCCTATCCAATCCCACACAAGCCACTTCCAGGGAGGGCTCTTACCTTGGTAGAATTGGGTGTTGCCCAGGAAGAGGGTGCTGTTGAGGATGGCCAGGACCCAGCAGAGGGGAAGCAGATAAAGGACACAGACAGAGCCCAGCAGCGCCCCGTAAAACCTGGGAAGGAGCAGCAGAAGACTGTGGTCAAGAGAGAGGACTCACACCACAGGCACAATCCCCCTTCCTTCACCTGGTCCTCTGCCTGCTCCCTCCGAGTACCAAACACAAAAGCAACTCCACAGGCCAGGCCCCTCTCCCTGCTGAGCCCACCACAGGATGCCTGACACTGTATTACTCACTGGGAAGAGACAGTGGGGTTCTCCCAGTATAGTACCCGGTACACTGCCTCGCAGCTGCAGCACATCCCACTCAGGAACCCCTCCAGCTGGATCAGGCTGCAAATGAGACCTCATAGTCACAAAAATGCCCCACAGACA